AAGAAGAAGTATATTAATAGGGAAATAATTATTAAGCTCTAACTGAAAATGATTTTTTATTCATAACAAACTAGAAGGCGGGCCCATTACTTACATCATAGGAGCCTACACAACACAAAATAAGTAGAAAATAAGTGGCATTCACCCTGCTTTACAAAGCTTGTGATTATTTGGTTTCCCCCTGTGAATAAACAGGCAAACTATCAAAAGGTGTTTTCCTAGAACGATTTCTTATTTCTGTTTTGCAAAAGCAAGGCCATGCAGCCAGGAGGAATCTCACATACAAAACCAGACAAGGAAATGGTGGGGAAAAAAATTTGTGGCGTCTCTTCTGCTCAGACAATACAGCAATAAGGAAAAAAATGTTACCCTGAAAAAAAATCTGGCCCAGATAAAACCATATATGAACTTGCTGATTTTATGGAGCATTCCTGCAAACTGGTTTGCTGGGTAAAGTCTCTCACCTGCCATCTTCCCAGCTCTCACCTGCCATCTTCCCAGAAGAAGAAGAAGAAGAAGAAGAAGAAGAAGAAGAAGAAGAAGAAGAAGAAGAAGAAGAGTAGTAGTTTGGATTTGATATCCCACTTTATCACTACTCTAAGGAGTCTCAAAGCGGCTAACATTCTCCTTTCCCTTCCTCCCCCACAACAAACACTCTGTGAGGTGAGTGGGGCTGAGAGACTTCAGAGAAGTGTGACTGGCCCAAGGTCACCCAGCAGCTGCATGTGGAGGAGCAGAGACGCGAACCCGGTTCACCAGATTACGAGTCCACCGCTCTTAACCACTACACCACACTGGCTCTCTGAGGTGTAGCCCTCCTAATTTCAAGTAGGATCTAAATAGTGGAATGTTGTAGGCAGGGCCAGTCACACAGGTCTTTCTCACTAGAGCATCTTTGTCCTTTGGTCTTTTATGTAACTATTCTCTTTAATTAGCTAAAGAAATCTCCTTAAAATCCATTTCTTCTGAAATCAAATGCAATTCAAGTTGCAGATGGAACAGTATCAAGTTGTACTAGCTTAGGATCATTTGGCTGATAGGTAAAGGACCCCTGGCCATTAGGTCCAGTCGTGGCTGATTCTGGGGTTGCGGCGCTCATCTCGCTTTATTGGCCGAGGGAGCCGGCGTACAGCTTCCGGGTCATGTGGCCAGCATGACTAAGCCACTTGTGGCGAACCAGAGCAGCGCACGGAAACGCCGTTTACCTTCCCGCTGGAGCGGTACCTATTTATCTACTTGCACTTTGATGTGCTTTCGAACTGCTAGGTTGGCAGGAGCAGGGACCGAGCAACGGGAGCTCACCCCGTCACGGGGATTCGAACCGCCGACCTTCTGATCAGCAAGTCCTAGCCTCTGTGGTTTAACCTAGAGCGCCACCCGCATCCCCTATTTGACTGATAGTTATGTCTAAAAAACGGTGTTTCCGTGCACTGCTCTGGTTCACCACAAGCGGCTTAGTCATGCTGGCCACATGACCCGGAAGCTGTACACCAGCTCCCTCGGCCTATAGAGCGAGATGAGCGCGCAACCTCAGAGTCGGTCACAACTGGACCTAATGGTCAGGGATCCCTTTACCTTTATGTCTAATAAACTGTTTTGTTATCACATCCTTAAAGCTCGCTAAGACCAGAGCCAAATCCAGTGTGAAATTTTCCTCTTAGTTCGAGCAGATGTTTGGTGCAACCAGCACGCAGAATACTAGCTGGGTTGAACTGCTATATGAACCATTTCTCTATGCCGCAGCGTGAACACAACCGTCATCCCTATCCAAACCTGGAGGGCTTTTGCTAACTCTCAATCCTTGAGCTTGCACATGGATATAGTGGGAATTGAAGTGCAAGCCTGCAAAGCTCCTGACCAGATACATTGAATGCAACCCTCCAAGTCACATATAGTGTTGCACTAAGGGCTTCTCCAAGTCACATATAGTGTTGCACTAAGGGACACGGGTGGCGCTGTGGGTAAAAGCCTCAGCGCCTAGGGATTGCCGATCGAAAGGTTGGCGGTTCGAATCCCCATGGCGGGGTGCGCTCCCGTTGCTCAGTCCCTGCTCCTGCCCACCTAGCAGTTTGAAGCACTCCCGGGTGCAAGTAGATAAATAGGGACCGCTTACTAGCGGGAAGGTAAACAGCGTTTCCGTGTGCGGCTCTGGCTTGCCAGAGCAGCTTTGTCATGCTGGCCACGTGACCCGGAAGTGTCTGCGCTGGGCCCCCGGCCTCTTGAGTGAGATGGGCGCACAACCCTAGAGTCTGGCAAGACTGGCCCGTACGGGCAGGGGTACCTTTACCTTTTTAAGGGCTTGATAAATCTCCCAGTTTTGCAGCTGCCTGGGATTCCAAAAGGGGGGGGAAGGGTGTTGTCAAGAAGCCAGCAGTTCACAATACATGGCTAGGAGAGTGTGTTTGTCTATCATGGGTGGTCCTCTATCACAGGTGGGGATGGCCACCAAAGTGAAAAGCTTAAAAGGAGGATTAGGCAAATTCCTGGGAGGGTGAGGCGATGGATGGCCACAATGGCTCTGTTCTACCTCCCCTGTCAGAGGGGTTATATGCATCTGAATACCAGTTGCAGGGAATCACAAGTGATGAGAGTGCTCTTGCTCGCAGGTCCTGCTTGTGAGCTTCCCATGGGAATATCTGGTTGGCCACTATGAGAAGAAGGTGTTGGAATGGCTGGCTTGATCTGGCAAGGGTCTTCTTACGTTCTAGAGCAGGGGCATCCAACTTCCAAGAGTCTGCGATCTACTCTCAGTATTAAAAAACTGGCAGTGATCTGATAGCCATGTTCAAATATATAAAAGGATGTCACATAGAGGAGGGAGAAAGGTTGTTTTCTGCTGCTCCAGAGAAGCGGACACGGAGCAATGGATCCAAACTACAAGAAAGAAGATTCCACCTAAACATTAGGAAGAACTTCCTGACAGTAAGAGCTGTTCGACAGTGGAATTTGCTGCCAAGGAGTGTGGTGGAGTCTCCTTCTTTGGAGGTCTTTAAGCAGAGGCTTGACAACCATATCTCAGGAGTGCTCTGATGGTGTTTCCTGCTTGGCAGGGGGTTGGACTCGATGGCCCTTGTGGTCTCTTCCAGCTCTATGATTCTATGATCTACCCATTGTCACAGTTGTTGAGCTGTTTGGGGGGGGGGTTCAAAGATCGACCAGGATCAACCAGGGACACCCCACAATCAACCAGTAGATTGCGATCAACCTGTTGGACAGCCCTGTTCTAGAGCATCCAGAGGCGCAACAATGCCTGGCTTGCTGACTCCATCACTGCCAGCATCACATTCTTAAAGCACTCTGGAAGTATATACTTGATTCTGACCAAATGAAGCCTCCTGGTATATATTTTGTTCCAGGAGGCTTAGTTTGGTGGGAATTGAATATACACTTCCAGAGTTAACACTGGAATTACTTCTGGTAAGTGAGCCACCATACAGTGGTACCTCGGGTTAAGAACTTAATTCGTTCCGGAGGTCCGTTCTTAACCTAAAACTGACTTTAACCTGAAGTACCACTTTAGCTAATGGGGCCTCCCGCTGCCACCACACGATTTCTATTCTCATCCTGAAGCAAAGTTCTTAACCTGAGGTACTATTTCTGGGTTAGCGGAGTCTGTAACCTGAAGCGTCTGTAACCCGAGGTACCACTGTATACGCTAGAGGGCTGTGAAAAAATTGTGTTCCCGACATTTTATACTTGTCTACCCATGTACTGTCTGAAACAAAAGGGGCACATTGGTTGCCAGATGTGAAATAAATTGGCATCATTTCCAGCTCCCCTACCCCACTATTGACTCTATATCACTGGTGACTTCCTCAGGGAGGAAAGCACAAGATGACTGGCTGTGACATCTTCCATTTCACGAACAAATTGGGACTATTCACACACACACACACACACACATACAAATGCACTCTACTTGTATGAATAGAGGAGCGGGGAAGAAGATCACTGCCACTGACGTTTGCAGGACACGGCGAAAGTTGTTGAAGTTTTTTGGTTTACTTGCCAAACTTCTGCCTCCCGATAAGGTTTGAGAAAATCCAGACATATGGAAGCCCAAACTAATCCCACCCCCAACATCCACAAGCCACCAACTCTTTACCGCCCGTGTCCACATATTTGGAGCAACATCAGAAAGAGGAGCTTATCTATGGTACAGCTGTACACATGTAGTAGGCAGTCTGATCAGGAAGCCTGTATTATCCAGATTAATAATCTGGTGGCCAGCCTATGTCCCTTTCTGGCATTCTGCTAAATACACAGACACTGAGGGAGCAATCCTGTGGCATGATCTGCTGGGATGAGTGGGGTTAGGATCCAGCAGATCTTCGGTTGAGCTGGATGGTTCCCAGCGCAATGGTAGAATTTAATTTGGAGTCTCCCCACTACTGTATTTTAATATTTGGTTGGAAGCCGCCCAGAGTGGCTGGGGAAGCCCTGCCAGATGGGTGGGGTATAAATAATAAATCATTATTATTATTATTATTATTATTATTATTAGCAGTTGTCCTGTAGACACTCTATCATGCTAGCCCTCTGGCTTAATATTTGATATTTTCCACTGCTTCTCCAGTTAACAAGTGTTTGCCACATGCAAGATAGGAAGGAAAAGCTCCCGTAGGCTTGCAAAATGATTGGGTGTTCTAATAGTAGCATCGGCTAGTCTGGGCTTCACCCTTCTTAAAATCCAAGTACAGTGGTACCTCGCAAGACGAATGCCTCGGAAGACGAAAAACTCGCAAGACGAAAGAGTTTTTCGTTTTTTGAGTTGCTTCGCAAGACGAATTTCCCTATGGGCTTGCTTCGCAAGACGAAAACGTCTTGCAAGTTTGTCTCCTTTTTCTTAAAACCGCTTGAAGAGGTGCAGTTGCGACTTGACCGTGCTTCGCAAGACGAAAAATTCGCAAGATGAAAAAACTCGCAGAACAAATTAATTTCGTCTTGCGAGGCACCACTGTACATTTCACGCCTGGGGTGAGTGGGGATGGGCACCGTACCTTTGACATGACTTCTCCCGTCCTCCAGTAGCGGTACTACGATAGTGTTGTTCACATTCCCTGGTGATCTCACCGCTGTGTAGACCACGGGTACCGACTGCACCACGACTGGGATGCGATGTACGTGACTCATTTTGTTGGTCTGTAGGTTCATGGGGCTGGACGGGGGTACTGGGTGGATTATGTGCAAAAACTGCTGCCCTCCAACACCTGATGCAGATGCCACGAGCGGGCCTGGCGTTAATACTGACGGTGCAGAAGACGCTGAAGAGACGGACGTTATTACTGTGGGTGACGAGGCTGGCCGACTAGAGGATGTTGAAGTGGAAGAAGGAGACGATGCCGAGGCGGTGATGGACACAGGCGAGGACGAAGCAGCGATGGGGGACGACCGGGCCTTGTTTATCGACAAGTCCACTGGCTCAGTTTGCGTTTGGAAATGGTCTGTGGACAAGGAGTCTTCTTCCGGATCTGCCTTCATGCTGTTCAGCAAAAGGGGTACAGCTTCCATATCTGGGTAACTGTGAGAGTTTGGAGACTGTGGAAGGAAGGAAAGGGAAACAGGCCATTACCATCTAGGAGCCAAAAAACAACAACACTCGGATGATAACAGTGTGTATGTTTATTTTAAGCAGCATAATTGAAACGAAGGGCAAGCAGGCAAGGAAAGGGTGGCTGCTTCAAAGAGGCCCAATGTCAGGTCCTGATAAAGGGTTCACTGGGGATCATGTCCGTCACTGCCTCTTTTTATTTTTTATTTTCAGCTTTTCTATTAGGGAGATGCACTAGTGGCACTCTGAAATGAACATAAGGACATGGGAAGCTGCCTTAAAGGTAAAGGTAAAGGTAAAGGTACCCCTGCCCGTACGGGCCAGTCTTGACAGACTCTGGGGTTGTGAGCCCATCTCACTCAAGAGGCCGGGGGCCAGCGCTGTCCGGAGACACTTCCGGGTCACGTGGCCAGCGTGACAAGCTGCATCTGGCGAGCCTGCACCAGCGCAGCACACGGAAACGCCGTTTACCTTCCCGCTAGTAAGCGGTCCCTATTTATCTACTTGCACCCGGGAGTGCTTTCGAACTGCTAGGTTGGCAGGCGCTGGGACCGAACAGCGGGAGCGCACCCCGCCGCGGGGATTCGAACCGCCGACCTTTCGATCGGCAAGCCCTAGGCGCTGAGGCTTTTACCCACAGCGCCACCCGCGTCCCGAAGCTGCCTTAGACTGAGTCAAATCATTGATTCATCCAGCTCTATTGTCTACATTGGCTGGCAAAAGCTTTCCAGGGTTTCAGGCAGGAAACACTCACAGCCCTCCCTGGGGAATCAACGAGAGACCCTCTGAGTACTCAGCGAGAGACTACAGCTACCCACCACTCTCATTTTCCCAGAATGCTTCTGAGCTGGGCTGAGTACCATTCTCTTGCTGCTCTAGTAAAACGTTTTCTTCCTCTGGATCTGCCTTCATGCTGTCTGGGTATGAAAGGTAACTATAGAAGTTACCCCCCCCCAAAAAAATGGGGTGCCTGTATTCGCTAATGCTGTCTCTGTTTACAAGGAGGGTACCACAGTGGTGAGGGGGAGGGAACAGATGAAATATTTAATAATAATAATAATAATATTAATAATAATATATTTATACCCCGCCCATCTGGGAGGCTTCCAACAAAGATAAAAAATACATTAAAACATCAGTCATTAAAAACTTCCCTAAAGAGGGCTGCCTTCAAATGTCTTCTAAACGTCAGATAGTTGTTTACCTAAGTCCCTTCTCACTGACTTTTGTTGTAATTGCACTGTTTAGCTTATTTGTTTAGTGAATAATAGTGCTTTATAGATTGTAACTGTTTTACTGATGATTTGATAATTATTCTATGATGTTTATTGTATTTGTGATGTTTTATTACGCTCCATTAAGTTATTGCTGTGTATTGTTTGTAAGCTGCTTTGCGATTCATTTGAATGAAAAGGAGCATAGAAATATCATAAATCAGCCCTGTTTGCAAGTCGAAAACTGTTGCATTTCCATCTCTGAACTAGGTGAGCTCCATCTCACATATTCCACTGGTGGCGCATGGGCACAACAGCCCTTAGCTTGTCAATAGTTTACTTCTCCACTCTGCTTGTTCTTCATTACAATAGAATCTCATTATAGCACAATGTCATTATCCAAACATTACCAGAAAGTTCTGAGGAACAATCATTCATGTGAATTAATAATATTTGAATATTTCAAATTAATTAAGCCATTGTGAACATCTTTCTCAACAACTTTTTTTTTTACAGAGAAGTCTCAAAACATCAGCAGAGATGTTTTCTTGTACCACCTTGCTGCAGATTTGAGCTGTTTTTAAGGTGAAGCTGTTTCTGTTGCTGCATTGCTAACGCCCAACTCATATTTACTCAGAAGTCGCTTGTATCCTTCCTTACCCCCTATTTAAACAGTTGATTCATTTCACTTTTACCCATATCTGTACATCATGTTCCAAGCTGAATCACATCCTCATATTCAGTGGGAGGTCAGACTCCCTTCTCAACATTGCAGATGGTGAACGTCAACTCTAGTTGCAAGTGTTTCTGCAAGTTTGTAAGGCGTTCTGGGAGGAATTTGGGGCCAGATTTTCAAGAGCGATAAGCACATTAAGGCTGAAATCACAACCCACATAAACCTCAAAGGTTTAGATTCTCTCCATAACCCAAGCCTACACAAAGCTCTAGAGATGATGTGAAGATAAACATGAGCTAGACTTCGAAACCCCAGCGCTGTTGCCCAACATGGAATGAACAGAGCTGCCCCCAGTTGCAAATAACTGTGCGTCTAGACTAGAGACTGGGGATCATAGATTTTCAAGGGTTGTAGGTGGTATGATAAAAGCATCCTTGCCTGTGTGTGTACACACTTCCCATCTCATCACCATCTCATCATCATTTCTGATGAAACAAGAAATTGAGGGTTTACAGTGTGGTTCAGTGATGCTCAATCTGGAGAACTCCAGATGCTGTTGGAGTCCACCTCCCATCAGCCCCTGTCAGCATGGCCAATGTTTTGGGATGATGACAGCAGACTCCAACAGCATCTGGGAGCACCACGTTGGCTATCTTCTCTATCACAGTCTTCTCTTTGAAGGTGTCCTCTTTGAGGGCCGTCTAGTCCAAGTCTGGTTTGGAGATAAGGAACCATAAAAAGTGGGAGATCTTGGAGTGGCCCACCAAAAGCTATTGGCACTTAGTCTAAGCAAGCACACAAGTCATCTGGTGTCTATAGTATTCTATGCTTTAAATAGTTAAAGCATAGCAATTATTTCTAAATGTGTGTCTATACAGTGGTACCCTCGGGTTAAGAACTTAATTCGTTCTGCAGGTCCATTCTTAACCTGAAACTGTTCTTAACATGAGATACCACTTTAGCTAATGGGGCCTCCCGCTGCCGCCGCGCGATTTCTGTTCTCATCCTGAAGCAAAGTTCTTAACCTGAGGTACTATTTCTGGGTTAGCGGAGTCTGTAACCTAAAGCGTCTGTAACCTGAAGCATCTGTAACCCGAGGTACCACTGTACATATAATTTACCATATACAAATTTGTTGCAAAATGATGTCCTCCCCACTTTTTTGAGTGGGGAATGTTGCAAATCCTCTTTTTTGGCAATGGATAACTGGCCACAACATATAGGAGCAACCCACCTGAACTATTAAGGCCGCAATATGGTCTGTAACATGTTTATGTCTTTGTTTTATGTCCTACAGCCTCTGTTCAGGTTGAGCAAGACTCAAGGCCTTGATTCCAACCTTAATTCAGAAAACAGATTCACTTTCTGGACACCCAACCCCCCTCCAAATCAATCCCATTATTCCATATAAATTATGATGGAGTGCTATTTTCACATCTTTAATTTGGGTAGCATGTACCTGCATCGCAAAACATGACATTGGGGTGTCTCTGCTTTCACTAAGTAGCCCTATGAACAAAAATTAATTATAAGGCACATTTCCTGCCTTTTCTACCCTCCCAAGTATTGCAAATTCTCAGAAGAAGAAGAAAAAGAAGGATCTGAATTTCATAAATTATCATTATTGGGTCAAAAATTAAGACGAGCAAATCAACTACAGTATATCTGTAACAAGACAGATTTAAGTGATCCTCCAGAGACAAAACTGCAGCTACTCCTCGTGTTGACATATGCTTCTTATGCCCAAATTACTTTGCAGTGCAAATTAGTACTGTCAAGCCTGAATATATTACAAATTAAGGGGGAGAAATTTATACTTCCTTTTTTTTCCCCCACACAGAAAATAATATCTTTACTTTGAGTATACACATAATTGCATATTATAGACTTGAAATTTTAATGGGATAAAACCGAAAGCTGTGAAATGCAGCTGTTTTTATTGAAATGATTTAGTGTCTCATGAATTGGCTTCAATAAATCAAGTTCTTTATGACCCAATGAGATATGATATGATTATTTTCAAAGGAGAGCGGCGAGGAAAGGCGGAGAAAGCAAGCCTCACTTTGATACGATGCTATGGCTGCCTGCAGGCCTATTCACTCGATGCTTTCTGGGAAGAAATATCCACCTGCTTATGAGACTCTGGTGCTTGTGGGCCTCTCTCACTCCTCTGGAAAGATCGAGGGAGCCATGCTGTGATGCTTTTGCACACCCTCCGACATTTCTCCAACGGAAATAGGTAAAGGTACCCCTGCCCGTACGGGCCAGTCTTGCCAGACTCTAGGGTTGTGCGCCCATCTCACTCAAGAGGCCAGGGGCCAGCGCTGTCAGGAGACACTTCCGGGTCACATGGCCAGCGTGACATCGCTGCTCTGGCGAGCCAGAGCCGCACATGGAAACGCCATTTACCTTCCCGCTAGTAAGCGGTCCCTATTTATCTACTTGCACCCGGGGGTGCTTTCGAACTGCTAGGTTGGCAGGTGCTGGGACCGAGCAACGGGAGCGCACCCCGCCGCGGGGATTCGAACCGCCGACCTTTCGATTGGCAAGCCCTAGGCGCTGAGGCTTTTACCCACAGCGCCACCCGCGTCCCAACGGAAATAGGGCTGTCCTATTCCATAATCATAGACTCACAGAATTGTAGGCTTAGAAGGTACCCTTAGGATCATCTAATCCAATCCCTGGCAAGGCAGAAATACAGTGGTACCTTGGGTTAAGAATTTAATTCATTCTGGAGGCCTGTTCTTAACCTGAAACTGTTCTTAACCTGAGACACCACTTTAGCTAATGGGGCCTCCTGCTGCCACCGCACCGCTGCCACGCGACTTCTGTTCTCATCCTGAAGCAAAGTTCTTAACCTGAGGTACTATTTCTGGGTTAGCGGAGTCTGTAGCCTGAAGCATTTGTAACCCGGGGTACCACTGTATGCAGGGATAGAAAATGCAATTTTGACATTATCAGCACCATGCTCTAACCAACTGTGCTGCTTTTGCAAACCCTCCTATTCTAATAATAATTTTATTATTTATACCCCACCCATCTGACTGGGTTGCCCCAGTCACTCTGGGCAGCTTCCAACATATATAAAACCATAATA